GAAAAAGCAGAACAGTAAGCCAAAAAAAACGAGTTGCATGAGATTGTGTTCATATCATTCCATCTGTAAGGTCATCTATCATGCTGCACCAGCTAGACAATTATTATTTTAATTTTAAATGCTTCTAGTTTATTATTTTGCATTAACTTTATGCACAGCTTGCTGTAAAACATTTATAATTTACTGTATTCTAACCTAGAACTAAATGTTTACTTTTCTTTCGTCAGCTTATTATGCCATAATTATTGCAATGCTTTTGCTGTATCTGCCATCTATATACCTTCAATTTAAAAAACATTGTTTGAACTTTGATATCAACAATAATTTATGAATCAAAAGTATAAAGTTTGGTGACGATCAGATATCATTCACACAACTGACCCATTAATATGTTAAAAAAGCAGCTGCTTTTAATTATCATTTGCGAGGCTTACAACATACATTGCATACACAAAGTTCAAATTGAAAAAAATATTGCCATCTTTCCATGTTGAAGCTCTAACCTTTGTCTGCTGTGATTTTGCAGTGTTCAATTTCTGTTGTGATATCCAAATAACTGTTTCTGTGTGTTCTGATGTACTTTGTAAATTGTTGGTATAATTTGCTGATTTGTTGATCAATTTTTTTTATATATAATTTAATCTATTCTGTCGTCTACACATGTTTTAAGCACCATTGATTTGACTGTCTAATTTACTTTAATGCATGTCTACCAGCAGGTCTAACCATTGGTTATGGTTCCTAGATTTGCCTGTGCACCATTGACATTTTTATTAATAATCGAAGACTTATCACCACTGTAATCTCTCTCTATATGTTTACATATATATATTTACAGTCGGTCTTATTTACTATGAGTTGAGTTCAGAGCAATGCATGTGTGCCTGTCAGCTGTGTATCTACGTCAACTGCCTTGAACATGTGACCTGGCCAAACACGCCTTCCTGGGAAAATAGACTGTTATTTCACTTTCAATAAAATAAAAAATAAAACTCAAAACAAACAATAAACAAACAAACCAAATTACTTCTTCTGCTTCTGTTTCTGATTGATATTGTTGCCATGGGAATCAGGTAAATGCAAATATTGGTCTTGTCATCCTATTTGCCATGTTTCTTGCCTTTCATTAGTGCATCCGAACTTATACAAATAATTTCTTTTGAAATCTGGATCAATATCATTCAAATATTATGTCAAATAATTCGTAAAATACTAAGAACAGACTAAGAACACCTAGCTATAGAATCTTGATATCTACATGATGTAGTTTCTTTGACTCACTTGCAAATTGAAAGGCAGGATACACAGTATAGTTCCTATAACATTGTGCTGGCCTGGCTTATTAAAGGTACTGATCTTTGCATGTCTGGTTTTCAGGAGATCACTGACACTACAGCTTCTGAATGAATTTAGAAGGCCATTTTTCTTTTTTCTTAGATTCACTATGACGTGCTGCTGTCAGCTGTATATTATAATGTAATTTCACGTTGGCATTCAATGCATTGTTCTTTCTCTGATATATATATATATATAGGCCGCCTTATATCAATCACCTCAACACCATTGATTGCATGACGGTTCACTTACATCCTCCCTTTTGCTCTTTTTTTTTTTGTTTCCACCCATGATGCATTGCTGTGCTTGCTGTTTATGTTAATGACTCTGCCTGTCCCATGCTGCAATCCCATTGGCCCATTGCCATCATGTGCTACGCATACTAATAAAGCTTCCGACCACGCCTGATAAGAGCAACAAGAAGCGAGCCAGAGACCCTGCTGATGAGATATTACTGGTACTGAACTGTCCTTGCTTTGTGCCTTTCATACCAGATTTTTAGAGTAGCCAAACAAATTATTTATATTACGTTATAAAATTTGAATCAGTATATAAGTTAGTGAATGAACAGTTTTTTTTTTCTCTTTGACGTTTTGAATGAAATTATTTCTGATCACGCAATGATAAGAAAGATATCACATTTCGTTTATACAGTTAATTGTTTTGTTTATGCTTGTGTGTGTTATTGACATGTAGATATTAATTGTAGAGTGTGTATAACCGATAATAAAACTCATGATATTAATTATATTGGAAAATATACAACAACTACTGGCAAATTGTATTTACTGTATTTCGACTTAATTATTAAAAACCAAAATCTATATTTATTAAAGACTGCCAGCCCTATATCATATTCTGTGTCTTCTCCCTCTGTCTAGGCTTTGCCAGGAATGATGCCATACAAGAAAGGTCCGGGAGCAATTTTTCAAGGTGCTAACCACAATCCATATCAGCAGGCTGCCTTGGCTGGTCTACATTTAACCCAACCATCACCTTATCTACAGTCACCATGTAAGTGAAGACCCCTAAAACAATTGAACAAACGTCTACTAGTAAAACCTTCCCACAAGTAATTGTGTTAACTGCAATGATTCATGGGAATGTTTTATTGCAACTGTTTTGAGCAGGCAATAGTTGTGGGATATGAATGTTGCTAACATCATAAATACCCAAAAGTCATATCCAGAATTTCACATAATAGTTTACACATTACTGAAACATAATTCTTGGTAAATGTGAAACAAAACTCTCTATTCACCATAGATATTGTCTCAATGGGAATGCTAACACACACTGATAAATGCTAATAGTTTTCTAGCTTACAATATAACTAACAAGCCATGCATGGCACAGTCCCTGCGGTTCAAATTTCAGACCTTTAGTGAGTTTGAAAATGAAATTACACATGTGCAAGTTTTCCAGACATTTCAAAATAGCCAATATTAGTGCATGTTAAAAACCACAATGGTGCCAGCAGCGATTTTGGATTGGATGATAAATATGTACATATGTATACCATGATATACAAATACAAAGGTTGAAGTGTTCCTCTAAAATGTCTG